ATCGTAAGAAAAAAAAGTGTTTAATGGTAAAACCGAGAGCACGATAGCAAGGCCACCGTTACGAGGAGAAATTGTATTTTCCTGTGTTGAAAATCTAAACATTACATTCGGAAAAACCAAAGGTAAAGGGAAACGAAAACATAAACGTAATGGTAAAGGTAAAGGTACAACTCCTATATAAAATAATATTTGGAAGAAAATATCTATATTTTGGGATTTACCATGTTGGAAGCACTTGCAGGTTCGACATTGTCTTGACATTATGCATATCGAAAAAAATGTTTGTGAAAGCTTGATAGCCTTATTGTTAAACATCAAGGGGAAAACAAAAGATGAGGTTAATGTTCGAGATGACATGGTTGAAATGGGGATTCGACCCGAGCTTGCTCCTATTAAGAATACTGGAAAGCGCACGTATCTTCCAGTAGCTTGTTATACCATGTCAAAGGTCGAGAAAACAAATTTTTGCAAGTGCTTGCATGGTGTGAAGGTTCCATCCGGCTATTCTACTAACATTAAGAAGTTAGTGTCAATGAGTGAACTAAAACTTCTTGGTATGAAGTCTCATGATTGTCATGTTTTAATGGCCCACATGATTCCTATTACAATTCGTGGAATATTACCAGATCGCCTTCGACACACAATCACAAAGTTATGTTTGTTTTTCAACATGATTCATTCAAAAGTTATTGATCCTGAAGTGTTGGATTCATGGCAAAGTGATATCATCTTAACGTTATTCCAGCTTGAGATGTATTTCCCACCTTCATTTTTTGATATCATGGTTCATCTAATATCTCATATTGTTAGAGAGATAAAGTACTTTGGGCCGGTATACCTACGATACATGTATCCATTTGAGAGATATATGGGTGTCTTAAAAAGGTATGTAAGGAATAGATATCGACCAGAGGGTAGTATTGTTGAAGGATACGCTACAAAGGAGGTAATTGAATATTGTACTGACTATTTACAAGGTGTTACAAGTATTGGCATACCGAAATCACAACACGAGGGTAGACTTGTAGGATATGGGACAATTGGATTGAAACGGGTAACTCCAAATAAAGAAGACTTGCATCTGGCACATTTTAGAGTCCTACAACATATGACGATCATTGCTCCATACGTAAACGAGCACAAAAGATATATAGAAATGTCGAATAGTGGTAAGAGCAAAAGATGGTTGATTACAGAACATAACAAAAAATTCTCACAATGGTTAAAAGACAAAGTGAAAGCAAGTTATGGCGTGAACAATGTTGATCAAGCTGTGGTAAATCTAGCAAATGGTCCCGAACATGTTGTGGCAACGTACCAAGGGTACGACATTAATGGTTATACATTCTACACTAATCAACAAGATAAAAAAAGTACACTTCAAAATAGTGGAGTAACGTTAATAGCCTCAACAGAATTATATGGAGATAATCATGATGCAAGGTCAAGGATAGCTAAAGAGTCATATTATTGTGTCATTCAAGAAATATGGGAATTAAAATATGATACCATTATTATACCTATGCTTAAGTGCAAATGGGTTGACAACCAACGAGGTGTTAAAGTTGACAATGATGGGTTTACAATTGTTGACCTTTCCACAAACGGTTATGTATCAGAACCATTCATTCTAGCTAAACAAGCTAGCCAAGTATTCTATGTCGAGGACCCAAAAGACTCGAAAAAGCACATCGTCATGCATGGAAAACGACATATACTTGGTGTTGATGATGTTGTGGACGAGGAAGAGTACGATCAGTTTGACGAGCTACCCCTATTTTCTATCGGCATTCCATCTTCAAATGATGAGGTTGACGACACTACTTACTTAAGGTCAGATCACAATGAAGGATTATGGGTATCATAAAACCATGTACTTTGAAAGGTAATAAACGAATTATTTGATACAAAACAAACAAATATAATTATAAATTTGTAGTAATCTAGTACAACCATTGTATTAACATATTTTCTTTTATTTGCAGGACAAAATCACAACAAAATACATTACAATATCAAATACCAAATATGTGTAACAAAATTTCCAAACTAAGTTTGTTTATATTTTATTTAATGTATGTCAATATTTCAGTTTCAGTTTGACTTTGAATGTGGTACCTTGCTTTATCAATAGTTTTAATATAATAGGATGTAGTATTGTTTTTTTCCATATGTACTCTTATATATTTATATTAATTAATTTTTTAAATAAAATAGCTTCATGATTAAGTAAAATTGTAACACCTTGTTTCGGGTCATTTCATAATTTGGGGTTGTGACCCGAAGATCAAGTATCATAAGGCTTCAGGTTTACATGGGTGTTAACATTGTAAAGAGAAGTGATTGATAATATAATTGAAACAAAATCAAACTTTGATGTATATTTACCAATATAACATTGATCTCCTGTAGTGCCGAATCCAAAATTTAAACTCATGGTATACAGACTGGATTAGCACTGAGCCCAAAACATCAGTTTGGCCTGCCTGTCGGGACCACAGCTCATGTCTGGATTGCTCCCGAGCCCACAACATAAGACTGGCTTGCCCCAAAGTATAATGAAGAAAACTCACCTCACAATGTCGAATTGAACTGAAAACCTCCGACTGCTGACTCACCAAAAATCCCAAACTATCACAATAAACGAATACTAATCAACAGTTGGGATATCAATCTTGGCTAAGGGCCAAACATAGGGTAATAGTCCATTTTACCCTTTCCCTAATTTGGGTCAAGGCCCAACTCCAAATCCTTGATCCAAGGTCCAAATATATAAGGCCCACAATTGGCCCAATTTTCCAAATTGGGCCCAACTCTTTAATTGGGCCTCATTCTAAGGTCCATTCCCATAATTAGCCCAAGAAACTTCTATTTAGAAAGCCCAGCAAGGGCCTAAGCCAAACTGGCCCAAAGGTGGCCCAAATCCGAAGACCAACTCGCAAAACCCATCAGAGGGCGTACGTAGGGTGTACCCCGAAGCTACGCGGGGCGTACGCAAGCCTCACATTGACTGGAAACGAGGGCGTTGACCGCGTACACAAGGGTGTCGTAGTTATCTTGTTGATTCCATTCGTATGCACCATGGAAATTTTTTTCTCATTGCACCATATTTGCAAAAGTACAATAATTTCTTATCTTTATTATTATTGTTTTGTTTTTTTTCTTATTATTTATACTAAATGTTTAAACATTTCTAGTAAGCATTGGGTGCTCTTGGTGATTTCCCTTCGCAATCGCGTTGTCTATATTTTGGATTCTCTTAAGGATCGTATAGAAAAGTCTGCCGACTACCATTACCTGCTCAAAAAACATGTGGACATGTAAGAAATTATTTACATCATAGCAACATATAAATCTTTTTATTATTTTGAACACAACACTTGTTTATTTCTTTTAAGGGCTTTCATGAGGTATAAAAAGACACTTCAACTCCAATTGGATGGATTTTTGCTGAGGTAATTCATCTTGTTATATACCAAAACAAATAATTGTTGTAGTTTCATTTGTTTGATTAGTGTTTATTTTTTGCTACAATTTTTAGTGCAACCAACAACTTGGTGGTTTAGAGAGCGGACATTATGTAATGCGATGGATGTTTGATTTCTTGACGACAAGACAACATGGATTTCCAAGTAAAGTAAATACCTTTTTAATATTTGTTGATTTTGTTTATTGCAACAAAATATTTATTCTGTTAATGAATATTTTTAATTTTACATTTAATATAGTCCGGTAGCATTTGAGATGACAAAAGTCCCTTTGAGGAAAAGATGTTGCTTGCAACTGTTGCTACCTGGTCTAGAGAGTTTTTGAATAACTATATGAATGATGTGGTCCTCTAAAAAACATATATGGTTAGTTATTGAATTCAAAAACTTCCTAACTTTGGTTTAATTATCTTTTGTTGGAGTTCTTACATTTTTACTTTCATTTGTTTGTTTTTCAGGGACGTTAGAAGAAACAACCACTACAATTGATTTTTCGGACAATCCCTGTGCCAAGTCAAGACAAATGTTTTTTTTTTTTTTTGTAAGTTTTCATGCAAGTTGTATGATGTATGAAATTACCAAATCCATGATTTCTTTTGCTACTTAGACAATTGTATTTGTTTGATTATATTTTTATCAATGACTATTATGGTTTATTTAACATTTCCACATAAAAAACATTGTTTATTAATATGTCTTATAAATTGATAGTCTATAAGTATTGTACTGTTATTTTTATAAAATGATATTAAAAAAAAAATATAAGAGTGTTAAAGGAACCGGTTGCTTATCTAGAAACCAGGTTCTAAACCTATTGTGAAAAAGCGTAAAAGTCTATTATGACCCGGTTATTTGTATGAACCGGTATATATTTTGTTTTCATATGCCTCGGTTATATTGAAGGGAACCGGTTCTAATATTCGTATATAGTTGGCACGGAAAGTGTTATATGACCCGGTTATGTAAATGCAAACTGAGCTCTATTTGTAATAAAAAGACCCGGTTTAGAACCGGGTCCTATTTCGGACTCCACATAGGACTCGCCAGCATCAAACCCGGTTGCAAAACCGGTTTCTTTAAGCTATTTAACCGGTCTGTTAGTGCTTTTTGTAGTGGTGGATGAAGGAAGGGTGGTGTGAGGATTCTCGTGATTGTGGTGATGCCGATGGTGAAGGAAAGAGAAAGCGTGAGAGAAGGGTTTATGCTAAAGAAAAATACAGTACAATGATAGGTACAAAAGAAAAAAAAGGGTAAATTGGTCATTTTATAATTGTTTACCTTCATTTTTTAATAGAGGTAGCAAAAAGAACTAACAATGCAATGTTTTAAAACCATAAGTACTAACGATGTACGTTTCTGATAGTTATCTTTAAAATGATACTTTTTAAAATACAATAAGGACCAAAAGTGAAATTTTGTCAATATAAACAATGTCGGCCGAAAACCGATAACTATGTAACTTTTCTGAGTACAAGTTACACCATTCCTCCTCAATCTCTTCTCTTCTCACTGATGATGGTGACTGTCTTGGTGGTCTTCCTTGTATTACTTCTGATTAACCAAGGAGTTTCACAGACAAACAACAGCCAAAACAATATTAACACACCCATCATATCATTCTGTGATCGTAACCCTCCGATAATTCCATCAAGTTTTATCAACAACCGCAATTCATCCCTAGCTGAAATCAGAAGAAAACTATCAAGGAGCGATGTATTCTTTGCTACAGCACAGAGTTCAGCAGAAGGGGACTTGGTCTTTGGAGCTGCCCAGTGCAGGAACTACCTCTCCACAACCCAGTGTCTGGCTTGTTTTGATGCGGGTGCGTCTCAACTAACCAGCTGCGCTACTGGCAAATTTGCTTATGTTTTCTTGGATAACTGCTTTGTAAGGTAAACTTCTCTTGTATCTACTATGTTCGTTTGCAATTAATTGTTCCGCTATTAAATTTCGATTTTTAATTTATACCGTCATTCAACTTTTAGCATTTTATAAAGTCTCCATATAATTCAAAACCATTTATTTCACTTCTTTCACTTCAACAATTGAAAATGGGTTATCCATAAAATTTACATCATGATTAGAAAGCTTCTTAAAATGAAAACATAGCTTGATTCAGATTGACGAGAGTGGAGTTTTCTGTGGTGTTTGTCTTCCTCTTAATGGTATGATGGTGTCTCCTGTTCAATTTGTCAATGATATTATTTTCATTGGGGAATGGTCTAGGGAGAAACATTTGATTTGATAAGCATACTTCATTGTTTTCAACTATCCTCTATCCTTAAAATTAATCGAAAAAAGGAAGATCTTGGGTGTTAGGGAGAATCCTATTGAAGTTGTTCTCGTAGCCAATAGATTCATGAGGCGTTCTAGTGGTACTCTTCCTTTCATGGATCTCGAAGTTCTGGTGGGCATCTCGATTTCTAGAGTTCATCATTCCCCCCGATTATTGAGTAATTCAATTCTAAACCTTCAAAATAGAAATCTTAAACTCTTTCTTTTGGTGGGAGACACACCCTTTGCAAATCATCTTGGGGAGTTGAGTTTGCACTTCTTTTCCCTTTACAAAGCTCCGGCCAAAAAACATTAACACCTTGGAAAGCATACGTAGCCGTTTCTTTTGGGGGGACATATAGACGAGAAAGAGGTGGTTTGTATCGCATTGAAAAAACATTAATTCTCCCAATCGCCAATGAATGGAGAGGGGGACTTTGATAAGCCTTGACCTGATATCACACCTTATAATAATCAAACAGTAATTTAACACAGAAAAGCAAGAACAATCTAGATAATACAAAAGCTAGGTTTCCATCATTTCTAAGAGGATGGTTCGATTCTCTCCTTTTTTTTTTTTCTTAAGGTACTCGGACAATGATTTCTAAGCCAACCCAAATGTGGTCGGTGATGTTGGTGTAACAATAATTCAATTATGTGGCAATCAGTCAGCATCTCATCCAAAAAGTTTTATCCAGGCTGTAGATGGGTTGTTATCAGATATTAAAGATGCAACCCCCAAAACCTCTAATTTCTATGTAGCATCCACAAGGCAAATCAAAAATGAAAATGTAACTATGTATGCGATTGCACAATGTGTTGAAAAAACAACCCGTACCTTTTGCCAAAACTGCATCAATGCAGTGTATACCGATTTATTTAATTGTCTACCTAACACGGAAGGTACGTCAGTCTACATGAGCTGTTTTGCAAGGTATTCAGAGACCCCATGCTTCAATTATAACCAGACAATTGACATCAGGAATCTCTTAAAAGGTTAGACACTTTTATTCATTTCTAATCTAACTATACCTAAATCCTTTAAATGTTTCCTTTTATATGATCGTATATGATCACAGGGAAGTCAAATAGTGTACCCAAAATTGCTGGAACAGTTTGTGGTGTTGGTCTATTCATTTTGATTATTTTGTGGTTAATGTTTCGAGTATGGAAGAAGTCTAAGAAGACAAAAGAAGGTAATTGTGAAACTGTGAGTGTGTGAGAGAGGTATTAGTATATTTTTAATGCAATATTATGTTTGGTTTCATCATATACTAATTACATTTATCTATATGTATTTGGAATATGTGATGCCTTTAGGTGAACCAGACCTCGACGTGGCAATTAGATACAATTATAAACATCTGCAATCAGCAACGAATAATTTCAGCCGAGAGAATCTTTTAGGGAGAGGAGGTTCTGGCGAAGTGTTCAAGGTAATAAAATTGAACCTTTCGTATTGCATTTCTAATATTATCAGTAAAAGCTTGTGTTGCTATTACGTAGTTAAATGATATCGCTTTGATTTGAATACCACATTTTCCAACTGGAAAGTTTTCTTCTTTATTTCCTTGTATAACGAATTAAGTTCAGATATTAGAGATCAAATGAGATTACTGTTATTTCTTTTCTATTTATGTTTGAAGCAATAAAACGTAACCGAAGTAAACAAACACAAAAGTTATGGTCGTTTGAACGTGAACTTCTTTTGACTCAGTTTGTCCTTTTCCCACTTAAATGTCCGAAACACTTTGCTTGAATCAAGTAACTGCATTAAGACATAACTTTGTTATATGTCTAATTTCTTCTGTATGCTTTTATCAGGCAGTTCTTGATGCTAACAACATCGTGGCAATTAAGAAAATTGAAGTAGGGTACCCTAATAAAGTGAAAGAAGAATTTGAAAATGAAGTGAAGCTCATAAGTAACGTACACCATCGAAATCTTCTCCGTCTCCTAGGTTGGTCAAGTGAAGGATCCAATCTACTCCTTGTCCTGGAATACATGTCAAATGGCAGCCTTGACAGATTCTTATGGGGTAAGTAATAATTTGAATGTACATTGTCAATGATAATTATCATACTTAAAATCGATGGTATACTAATAAATGTCTTCATAATGGAGGTGCAAAAAAGGGGACTTTGAACTGGAAACAACGATATGATATAATATTTGGGATAGCGAGGGGTCTTCGTTATCTACACAATGAATTCTATGTAAATATCATTCATAGAGACATAAAGTCAAGCAACATTCTCCTAGATCATGATTTTCAACCAAAAATAGCAGATTTTGGGTTGGCAAGGTTTCTCCCCGATGATCAAAGTCATCTTGTTAGTAACCAGTTTGTAGGGACACTGTAAGTTGACTAACAAAATATTTTCCTTTAGTTCCACATACCGATCTAATCCAATTCTCAATCTCATATTTCCATATAACTATATAATAAAAAAAAAACCAGGGGCTACACAGCGCCAGAATACGCACGTCATGGTATTTTATCAGACAAAGTTGATACTTACAGCTTTGGAATTGTGATTCTTGAAATCATTAGTGGACGAAGGTGTACCAACATGAACTTTGATAGACCATCCATGGATTACCTCCTAGAACATGTGAGATACCACCTTAATACTTTTTCCATTCTCTAAATTAATTTAATTTAATGACATTAAGAAGATAAAGAATCATTAATAAAAATATTTGCTACTATTTGATAAACAGGCCTGGACGACGTATGAGAACAAACAACATATTAAGCTCATTGACGAGACATTAGATGTGAACGATTACCACAAAGAACATATTATGCAGATAATTGAGATTGCTTTGTTGTGCACTCAATCACCAACTTCAGAAAGACCGAATATTTCAGAAGTTATTCTGATGCTAACAGATGGCCAATCAATGTGGAACAGACAGCTAACCAGACCTACTGTCATTGATCATGATAGGAGGATTCATATAGGCTCTTGAGATGAGAATATATTGCTAATGTTTCTTGAACGCCAAAGAATTTAGAGGCAAATTAAAGAGTAGCTGCTTAGTGTTCAAGTATATGAACAAGTAGAAATCATGGAGAAGAGAATTAATGTTGCAACGGTTTGCTAATTTTACATCAAAGCCAGATATTCCTTAATCACGGTTTATCATAGTGTGTTGCATATATGCTTTAGTCTCTTGAAGCTTTTAATATATGTTTTATTTGCTAAATTAAGGTTAGTTTGACAAATACTTTATTTCATAGTAAGTTCACTAATTATGATTTATTATCTATGAAGTTCAATAATAGTCATGATTTTCTACCTTTACTCCGTTAAAAAACTAACATTTGGGTATTTAATCACCAGCTGAAAAAGTTCGACCATGTCAAAAGTTATTCTGATGCAAACAAATGGCCAATTAGTGGGGAATAGACAACTAATTTTAAAAAAAAAACTATACATTGTTTTCATTAATGGTGCTCAAAACTTCTAGCTTGTGTCCCACTACTAAGCATTTAAGTTACTTTATTTCAAATAAGTGGTACATGACTACACATAAATTACTATTAGCACTTCTTTATTTTTAGCCTTGGCAGTTTCTTATTTTTGGTATTTAAATGGTCTGTATTGTATACCCAATCAAATGTGGGCAGAAAAATTGAATACGGAATCTCTTCACAACAAATTGTTCCTTTGTTTTTGTTTTTGTTTTGTTTTTTTTTCTTTTTCATGTTCTCCCTGTTCTGTATCAATTAATCTTGTTCAGTTTTGTCTTCCAACAAATTTGGTATCAAAGCCAGAACCATGACAAGCAATGGTACGAGTTCTACAACACAACTCTAAATTCCAGTTTTTAAGGGGGAGAATTACGATCTTTGGAGTCTCAAAATGAAGACAATGTTGAAGTCCCAAGAGCTATGGGATTTGGTGGAATATGGGTATGCACAGGCTCTATTCTTCATCCAATCAGCATTGGATGATGAGTTTTTTCCATGTATTGTAGCAACAACAACCTCGCATGGGCAATTCTGAAACAAGAATTTCTTGGCGATCGAAAAGTCATTGATGTCAAACTACAATCTATTTGTCGTGAATTCGAGACCTTGGGCATGAAAGAGAAGGAAAAGGTGCAAGTTTTTCTTTCAACAGTATGAAATTGTCAGCCACATGAGGTCATACAGTGAAAGTGTTAGTAATGAAACCATAGTCAGTAAAGTTTTAGGGAGTGTGACCAAGGATTTCAATCTCATGGCTCCATTCAAGGAAATAAAGGACCTGCCCACCTATACTTTTGATGAATTAATGAGCTCTTTGATAGCTCATGAAGACATGATGAACATGTCTTCATGAGACTGCTGGAACAAGCAGAGAGAAGAACAGAAAGAAGAACAAAACCCTTAATGTCGATATTTCAACAAACTAAGACATAGAGAAGCTGATTGTTGGACCAAGAAACGAGAAGAACAAACCCCTGCAAACTTTTCTGAAAAAATTTAAGAGGAAAGTAAGTTATGCATGACACATTCTTCCACAGTTGATACATACATCGAATGGAGTGTGGTTTGTGGACAACGGATTTTCAAACCATATGTCTGGAATAAAGTCTTTGTTTAAAGAGCTTGTTGAGACTCAAAATGGTGTAGTTCGTCTTGGAAACAACAAATGCAGTGCAAGTTGAAGAACAAGGTACAATCACCATCAAAACCACTCAAGGTAATGCAAAACTTCTTCATGATGTGCAATACATTCCTAACTTAGCCCATAGTTTGCTAAGTGTTGGGAAATTAATGAGTTCCTGTTATGTTGTCCTTTTTGATGATGGGTATTGTTAGGAACCGGACCGGGTACACGCAGCGGAAACACTATCACACACACAAACACACGAAGGAAATAAAGCAAGAAGGAACACAAGGATTTTACGTGGTTCGGATTCGGTGTAAATCCTACGTCCACGGGCGCAACTAGATTTTATATTAACTCACTATAAGATTACAAATGGTAATATCACTCGACACAAATACAAAGAGTTACATCGCACATATATATACTGAGAGACGAGCCGTTTTGTTTGACCAGCCACCATTTGAATTTTCTTCCATTCACATGTTACGGCCGAAACAAAATTGCACATGGATTCCATTAAACAATTAATACTTTTGCCGTCCACTCACCGTCCAATAAACAAATATTAAACAATTCAATTGTTTAATTTGTCAAGTTACATTTATGGCCCTTGAACTCTTAGGAACTTGTCAATTTGTTCATGACTCCATAAATCTTAACAATCTCCCACTTGGAGACTTGAACAAATTAGTCTTTCTTCGCCATCCAACTCTCAATTACTCCAGAAATCTTAAAAAAAAAACAACCAAGTCCTTCAAGCTTCCAGTTCCAAAGAACAAGCTAAAACTTAGTCTGATTTCTCTAGTTGCAGCCGCCCCTCATCATCAATTTCTAGAAGGGCCAGTTAAAGCTCCCACTAGCTCCAACTCAGCCGTGGCTAATCCCGCCACCAACTCATCCTCTGTCTCAACCGGTTTGGACACTCCACCAGATCCAGAGATACACCGAGGACCACTAACACTCTCCCAACTTTGCAAACATTCAACAGGAGAGAATTTTTCAGTCTTAGTCTTTAAAACCCAACGGCTCTTTGTAACTGTACCCGAAACACGTCCCGTGCTCCCACTGTCACAGAATCCCCTGAATGGTTTAGACTTTCGAACTCGTTCAGCTAACATCTCTTTGGCTCCAGAATTCATGTTTGCAAAATGAACTATCTTAGCCGTAGATTTAGCGAACCAGATTTTGTCTTGCTTAACAGGGACGGTCATACTTCCCTCAGCAGGTACCTCAACCATATATAATGACCCACGCTTCAAACCTTGAGCAATCACCGAATTATCATTGACCACCATCCATTTACCACCACCAAACCTTACTTCCAGTCCTTGTTTATCCAGCTGACCAACAGAAATCAATTTTTTCTTCAGCTCCGGAATAACCCTGACATTCTTCAGGCTCCATGTAGTTCCTAATGAAGTAACTAGATCAATATCTCCCATGCCCGTTACCTGAAGCATCTCGTCATTTGCCAAACGTACCTTTCCAAAATCTCCTTCTTTCAAATTCACCATCGTTTCCCCGTTGTCCATGGCGTGAAACGAAGCCCCTGAATCCATGACCCAAGAGTCCACAGAACTTTCCATACTGAGTAACAATGCATCATCCCCAGAAAAATTCTGAGCATCAGCAATGTTCAATTCTTTCTTTGGACATTGACTCTTAACATGTCCCACTTCTTGACAGTTCCAACATTTCACATTCTTCAAAGTTCTAGAAGAACTTTTTCCCCGACTCCCACTGCTCCCACTATTCCTGCTATTCCCTCTACCTCTTCCGACATTTAATAAATCAGAAGAGGAAGATCCACCTTGATTCTTGCGTCTGATATCCTCGCCTAGAACCAAATCTCTAACCCCTTCAAAAGTCATACCACTAGTCCCCACGGAACTCGTAACAGCAGTAACTGTTCCGGACCAACTATCAGGTAGAGAAGCTAGTAGCAGCGAAGCTTGAGTCTCATTATCAAATTTAATTCCCACAGATGATAATCTGGACAGAATTGAATTTAGATTGTTAATGTGAACCGTAACTGAGCCTTCCTCATTCATCCTTGTAGTGAACAGCTCCTTCATCAAGAACACCTTGTTAGCCGCCGATGGTTTCTCATACATATTTGACACAGCCTCCATCATACCACGCGCCGTGGTTTCATTCATGATGTTGAAAGCAACGCTCTTCGTCAACGACAATGTAATAACCGCCTTGGCTTTCTTGTCCTTTGAGTTCCACGCATCTTCAGCAGCTTTTTCAATTTTCTTCGGTTTGTCTCCGAGTACCATGTCCAAGTCTTTCTGACATAGCAATGCTTCTAATTGCATTTTCCACCAGCTAAAATCAGAACCATTGAACCTTTCGATTATAATCTTGTCTTCAGCCATTACGGCAAACAAAAAAAATTAGGTACACTCGTGTGTGACAGAAAAAACGATCGTACCCTCCAAAACCTCGCTAACCTGGCTCTGATACCAGTTGTTAGGAACCGGACCGGGTACACGCAGCGGAAACACTATCACACACACAAACACACGAAGGAAATAAAGCAAGAAGGAACACAAGGATTTTACGTGGTTCGGATTCGGTGTAAATCCTACGTCCACGGGCGCAACTAGATTTTATATTAACTCACTATAAGATTACAAATGGTAATATCACTCGGCACAAATACAAAGAGTTACATCGCACATATATATATACTGAGAGAGGAGCCGTTTTGTTTGACCAGCCACCATTTGAATTTTCTTCCATTCACATGTTACGGCCGAAACAAAATTGCACATGGATTCCATTAAACAATTAATACTTTTGCCGTCCACTCACCGTCCAATAAACAAATATTAAACAATTCAATTGTTTAATTTGTCAAGTTACATTTATGGCCCTTGAACTCTTAGGAACTTGTCAATTTGTTCATGACTCCATAAATCTTAACAGATATTATTTAATCAGAGACAAAAAATATGGTCAGCCCATTGCTAGCATTCCAGTGACACAAAAATAGAATGTTTCCACTTAAAATTCCAACCATGGAGAAGTGTGCTTTAGTTGCTACTAATGAGTCAATCATTTGGAATCTACATTATGGTCACTTGAATATAAATGGGTTGAAATTATCACAATAAAAAATATGGTTTTGGGGCTGCCAAAATAGATAAATGGATTTTTGTGAAGGGTGTGTATGGGAAACAAACTCGAAAATCGTTTCTTATAGGTAAGACTTGGAGAGCTTCTTCTTGTCTTGAATTAGTACATGTCGATGTTTGTGGTCCAATGACTGTTGAATCGTTGGGCAAATGTTGATATTTCTTATTGTTTATAGATAATTATAGTCACAGGAGTTGGGTGTACTTCTTAAAAAAACAAGTCTGGGAAATTTGATTGCTTCAAAAATTTTAAGGCTTTTGTAGAGAAAGAGAATGGGAATAACATCAAAGTTCTTTTGTTTTCGATAATGGTGGTAAATTTAAGTCACTGAAAATTTAATGATATTTGTGAGTTAATTTCTATTCATAGGGAATTTAATGCTCCGTACACTCCACGACATAATGGAGTA